TTTCCCATCTGCAAAAGCTCGTACTGACGTCTTAAAGTCTGAAGCCGCACTGTTTTCAACCGTTCCACTCCAGCATAACTTTGTGCTAAAATATCCCAGGCCTCCTTCGCCGTTTTCGCCAGTGCAATCTTCTCAAAATTCGCTTCATCGACGCATTGATGAAGGTAAAACAGTGCCTTACAATCTTTCCGTTTTGCCTCACGAAACGCTGCTTGTTGTTTATCAGTTGCGTTCTCCGGTGGATCGCTGTAGCCGGTGTTTACAATATCCATGACTTCTTGAAATCCAAAGATGGCCTTCATCCTCACGCACCAACGGTCATAGCTATTGAGATTTTTACTATCAAGCATTGGCATGTTCCCTGATAACGTTCCTTCGTTTCCGTTCGCCATTATTGTTCGTCCCCTGATCTTGAAGCTCTTGATACCACTGTAAGGCAAAAGAGAGAGGAATCCAGAATAGACTAATATCAGAAAGAACATCAACAACATGATTAATCACCAAGTACAATATATCCTGTGTCTACAAGTATTGGGCCTCAAATCATTAATGGGCTAGGCCCAATGTACATGCTGAATTATTAGCTAACATTTTTAAATTATTATATTTAAATTTATACAAAACTTTGAGCTCTTTAATTTTAAGTATTTGTAATATTATTTTTTCAAATTTTGTTTTATACTTTAAATGAAAATGATGTAGTTATGTGACATTTATTTTCATAGATGATAACATATATATATATATATATATATATATATAAGATTTAAATAAAAACAAAAAAGACTAACTTCAACGTATTGTCATATTTTTTTAAAAATATTTGCTTAAATTTTTTATACATTTTTTTATTTATCAATTCCTATAAAATAGTATGAGTAATTTTTTTTTCTTCCCTTCAAATCTGTTAAAGTTTAATCTCAGTCTCTTAAATTTATAATGACCTACTGATGGAAAAAAAAATTACATTGTCCTATTTTGTTTTTCTACTTTTGAAAATGTGCAATACGTGTGATCCCTTTTGTTGACATAGTTAACTTGAGAGGAAAGACAAATGTCCTTTAGTAATGGACTTAATTTTTAATTAATATTACTAATTTTGTTTCTTGATTTATTTTAAGAGATAAAATAGAAAATTAAATTTAAATTTATTGTTGTTATTTAATTTATCTCGTGTGCTTTCTAGGTGTTTTTTCTTTTGTATCGTTCAAAAGATATTATTTTGTTAGTATTATTTTATTACATTTTTTATAAGTATTTATGTCATCACGTTATAAATATACGTTTTTCTTTTCTGTCATTTTCTACCCAGTTGAATAAGAGATTTTTTTTTCTTACTTTCTCTGTTACTATGTATATATAAAAAAAAATTCTCATTTTTTACTTACTTTTTTTTCTTTCACCTTTTATATCTTTTCAACCACATAAAGTAAAAAAAAAAAAAAACAAAAAAAAATGTAAAAGTATTTTCAATGACAGCTACTATTCATATCAAATATCTTCAATAATCTGACATAAAAATAGGCTAAGTCAAATTGGCCCGTCAAAAAAAAAATGGATTGAAATGTCTTAAGCTACCATACTAATTAAAGGTGGGTTGGTGGTCACTCTACCAAAAAATTAAAAAAAAATTATTTATTTTGAGTATCTTTTTTAACATATTTTTTCTTAATATTTAAAAGAATTCACATAAATTTATATACCTAAATAATAAAATAAATATTAAATTATAATAAATTTGATTTGATTTACTGTATAATAAAATTCAAATTTATTACATAATAAAATTGATATGTCATTATAACAATAATAATAGTTCTTCTAATGGATTTGTTGTATAAAAAACCCAAAATTACATGTAAAAAAAATATTGAAGATTTTTATAACGAGGATTTTTTTTATATTGTAAATTAATTAAAAATATCAAATATTTTTTAAAATAATTGTTATAAAGTTTATTAGTAGTATTTCTTAAGATTCTTTTAAATCACATAATGACTTATAATTAAAAAATAATATAAAATGTTTGTGCAGTTTTATACTCCTTTACTTTGAAGTATAAAAAATATTGTTTGAATTAATTCCTTTTTAATCAAATTGAAAAGAATAAGATACTTACAAAGATCAAGAATAAATAGAAAGTTAAAAAAGGTTAGGGTAGTTGAAAAATTCTTTCAACTAATTGCAAAAGTAGGGCATAAAATATGACTTTATTATTGTTTAAATAGGGAATGAAATTGAGAGAAAAATATTAATTGAAACGATTTATGTGTAAGATATGATTGACTTTACTTTTTCATTTTTTTCCAAAATTTTTCCTTCCTTACCATTTTCACAATTGATCACTAGAAGGGTGAGGGGGTCCAAGTTTTTTTTAGGTTAGGAACTTCAAGCAGTGGTGTGCAAGGGTTAAATTCTTCATTCTCTTCTTCTTCTTCCTTAGAGAGCTAGGAATCGATATAAGGGAAGCTGGAATCTTCGAATTTTATTGAAACGTTAGGTTGTTGAATGAATTAAAGGTTTAATGTTTGATAGAGTTGTGAAAATCTGCAACTATGGAGATGGGTTTAACGGGGTTGCATGTTGAATATTGGGGGTTTGATGTTCTTGATGTGAGATCAAAATGTGATGATTTCTTTGAGTTGTGGTTGTTACATGTTGTTTTTGTGGCTAGCCAAAATCACGAAAAATAGAGGTGGTCTTTATCATGAAGGCATAGAGTGGATTTAAAATCGCTAAGCGATTTAGGGATCGTTGAGCATATTAGGGGCCACGAATCAGGGGTAACTTTGGAAACACAACACTAAGTGCTTTAGAAGGCACTGAGCGAATTTAAAACCGTTGAGCAAATTTGGGGTCGCGAATCAAGGGTGTCTCTAGAGACAAAGCATTGAGCGCTTTTGAAAGCGCTAAGCAAATCAGTTTCCTTCTGAATTAGGCTTTGTTGTCTTCATAAAAGTTATAACCTTGAATGTTATCTTTTCAATGACATTAGAATTACCTAAAAAGGAGGTCTAGAACTCCAATTATGTCCTGTTTAGTGAGCAAAGGTCATTAAGTTGTCAGCATTTAGGTAATGTTGTAGTTTTTAGAATTTTTAACATGGTAGATGATAGAATTAGAACCTGGGTTCTTCATGAAAGTTGTAGAAAATCTTTTTGTCTTTCATATGAGATAAGAATGAGTATGGTAGGAATAATAGAATTCCCTATGCGCTTTTTATGTGAAGGTTGTCATTTCACAATAAGTGATTTGGCTAACTTGTATTAGTTATTAAAAGATGATTATGTTGTAAGTTGTTCTAGGTTGCTTAAGTTGATTTATGATGTTGTTTTATTAAGATGTTAATGTTATAATGATGTATGTTGTTTAAGTTGACATGATGTGAAGTTGAAAGTTGTGAAGTTATGTAACTATGTTAAAATTTTATATGAATAATATTGATGTTTTGTTGAGATGCATGATGATCACAATGTTGTAAATGAGTTGTGATGATGGTGATATAAGTTGAAAAGTTGTGTGTTAAATGAGTTCCTTAGTTGAAGATTATAATGAGTTGTTGTATTGTTGAGTTGTGCTAACCACTTAGGACTATAAGAGATATTTTTGGAAGTTTCATATTCTATTGTGTGGATATTGTGTTGTGGTATTCTGATAGCTCAATTTGTGTAAAAACCTTTATTAGGAAGTTAACCCTTGAAGTAGATATTGTGTTGTCTCTCCTCCAAAACTGTGTTGGTACCGTGTGTTGGCAAGATCAAGACACACATGTATGAAGCGACCACAATACAAGGATCAGGTCGAACTATACTGATTATAAGTGGTTAACCAAGTAAAGTACAAAGTTTGAAACTTAACTCCTAACTGAATATGAAACATTATAGTATTTACAGGATAGTTGGTGTGGACTAATTACATAAGAGACTTAATTTAACTAACTAATATCGTAATAGGCTGATACTCAGTTATTCTATTTTGACATTAGTATTATACTTTTTTGTTTAAGTAGCGACTTTTAAGAAATTGAATTATTGTATTATGAATTTATATCCAATTTGACTATCATTAGTATTTTCCATTACATTATTTTATATAATATTAAATATAATGATTTGTTATATCATTATAGTAATTATACTCTCATTTATTTTTACATAGATAACTATACTCTTAAAGTTAAAATACATAGCTAGAGATTTAACCCTTAAATTTTTACATATAAAAGAATATTTATCGGCAAATATCAATTTCTTAAACATTTTTTTTGATCCTGGAGTGATTAGTTTTCTCGACTAAAGAATATCCTAAAATAATATTACAAATGTCTACACATAAATTATATATATATATATATTATTTAAAATATTTAACTTTGGAAAAATGAAATACATAAATATTTTCAAAAATGTAAATGCATATACTAATTTTAATTTCATTCTAGAAAAATACAATTTCTTTTTTACTTTCTTATTTTTTTATAGACATGTTTAAAAAATAAAAAGGTTTCATCCAACTATATCATAAGTCAACCATTACACGAAATAATTATATATTTGATAATTAAATAGGAATATAACTTATTAGGCTATGAGTTATTATAATTTGTAATTGAATTATGAATGACAAGTATTAAGAGTACGTTTAAAGTATTTCAAGAAGAAAAAAGTTGAAAAATAATATATTTTTTATGAATTAAAATTAATTAACGCATTAAATTTTTTTCATAAACTAAAATATATTTATATATTAAATAATTTTTACAAGCACTTTCATAAAATTTATTAATAAAACTTCACAAACAATTATACTTAAGTTAATAATTAACTTAAAAGAATATTTCATCTTCTTTCCCAACACACCTAATACATGTAAAATTAATTATCAAATAAAGTTACTCCTAAAATATTAGGAAGGTCATTTTTCCAGTAAAGAAATACGTCATTTTAGTGCTCATTTATTTATTTATTTATTTATTCTTAAACAGTTAATCACTCATTGACTCGATTAAAACGGACTTTCTAGTTTGTATTGTACAAAAAATAAATTCAAAATAAAATAAGTAAAAATAATAAAAAAATTAACAAACGTTCGGCTATGCAAGAAAATGAAGCAACAAAACAAAACAGAAACGGGTAATCATGTAGTCCAGTTTGCTTCAATTGAATCCAACCAAAACAACAAACAAATCCTAACCCTACAACTTTTCACATCTACCCCTAAGTTTCTGTTCCTCCTTCTATCACCCCAATATTTTCTAGATTTACATTTCCACCCCTACTCCACCGTTTCAAAAACCCACAGCAAAATGCCGCCTACATAGCCTGCAACGACTCCGACCACCACAAAACATCCGCCGCCGGCTCCGCATAGTCAAACAACCCATCCACCGTCACAACCCCCCCGGCGCCGCCGTCACACTCCGCCGTAAACCCAAACCCAAACCCAAACCCAAACGCATCATAACCGGGAAAATCATCTTCAAACCCCACAGCCCCATTCACCACATCCGGGTCGACCCGACCCGGATCCTCGCCGGCGCTCACCGTCGGCGGCAACCCCAGTTCGTCGTCCGAAGCCTCCAGAAGATACCCCAAGTTAGCTTGGATTTCGCCGGGGTCCACCACCCGGGTCGGGTCATCCGAAGCCGGATCGGAACTGGGCGCATTTATTTCATCTTCGAAGCTCTTAATGACTGAGTCGAGACCCTGCACGGAGTCACGCTCGGGCACATTATCGGCGTCGTCAAGTATGTTAAAAATGTGATCTTGCAGTTGAACCTCGGAGTGAGGCAGCGAGTCGACTCGGGGAATCTTGGAGTGGGGCGAGTCGGAGTGGTCGGGAACTCGCTTCCTCTTGTGGTTGGAATCCTGATCCTCCATGGAAGAATAGAGAGAGAAAAAGAGAAGTGTGTTGGGTGAGAGGAAAGAGAAAGGGTGAAGGGTATATATAAGGGTTAGAAAAGTGGGATAGGGTTTGTCTACTTTAAATCGTAATGGGAGATAGTGACAGGCGCGTGCATATCGCTAAATTTAAAACACAACTTCCTTCACGGACGTCTCGTTCTCGTTCTCCTTCTTTCTTCTTCCTCTTTTTTTATTTTTATTTTTATTTTATCTAGTCAATTGTTGGAGTATTATTAAATTAAATAATAACGATAAAGGCTATAAATTGATGCTGTGTCTGTCATTCTGAATTTTCCTTTTTTGCGTGTCAGATCCGTTGGCCATTATTGCAGTTTGCAGATAGCGGATTTTTCTTTTCTGGCAATTAACTAATTTTAATTTTCGTCTCGAGTCCGCTCGGGGGACCACCTACATAGGAAACATCATTGTTTTTTTTGTTCTTTTTTCCTTTTTTTAATTTACAACTTTTATTTTACTTCACGTAATTTCTAAATAAATATTGTAATAATAACAATGGTGGTAATGTAGGATGATAATGGTAAGAGTTGGAATACGATTGGTGCAACATTGATGATAATAAATATTTTTATATTTAACATAAAAAAATTATCTCATAATTTATTGAGGAACACAAAATAGGATTTTTGACATGTTCTTTGATTTTTTTTCTTTCTCATAATCATTTTATTACAAATAAACGTGGGAGAATAATATTTATCATCTACAATAAAATATTTTTTAGTAAATTAGGTGAGTCATATTATTTCATAAACTTTATTTTTAGTATTTATAAAAATAGGATTAAAAATAATATATAATAACTAAAAGAGTTTTGTTATATTATGATTAAAAAAAGTAAAAAAGCAATTATTAATTAAAGTTTTATATTTTCAAGATTTGGGACTTGGTGCATTATGAAGTGGTGGCCGGGTGGGTTGGATTGATTTTGTTTAGCTGTCGTTTTTTAATATTATTTATAGAAAGATTAGATTTGGGTGTTTGACAAGTTCTTGCTTAATTTATAAAGAAAGGGAAGGAAAAGAAGGTTCGAGGTTGAGAAAGTAGTAGATGGGTGTTGGATTGTCTTAGAGCCACCGATTGTTTAGCTTTCTCCTTCAATGTCTCACCCTCTTCCGCTTCTCATTTACTTTCACATTCATTTCGATTTTGGATCCAACATCACCTGCCTTTCCTATTATTTTTCGTTTTCTCCCTTTCTCACGTGTCACATTTATCAAGGGATCTAGATTTCAGATGAATGGGATGGCAAAAAACCCAAATATGTATTCAGATTTTACAACTATACACAAAACAAAACAAAAATACTTTCAATTAGAATTAAAAGGATCGGAATTTGAAATAATTTTAAAATATGCTTTTATTATAACAAAAAATCTTTTAATATTTAATTAATTTTTTAATATAAAAATCACATAATACTCAATTAAGATAATTAAAAAAAATTAAGAGAATGTCAAAATATAACAATATTCAATTAAGACAATCATTTTTTTTTGTAAATATCTCCAAATCTAATAATATTCAATCAAGACTTTTTTCACATTAAAAAAAAGTTTGATTATATTAAAAAATATAAAAATCTCTCATTTTCTCATTTCTCACTTGTTTCTCCTCTCTCTCTTTCCTATCTTACTTGTTTCTCCTCTCTCTCTTTCCTATCTTACCCCTCTGCCTCTCTCTTTTTCCTTTTTTTTAATCTCATATTCTCTCCTTTTTTTTATACATCTCTCGTTTATTTTTCTTATTTCTTTCTCTATTTTTTCTCTTATTTTTTTTATCTGTCAATATTTTTTTCTTACATTATTATCTATTAATATTAATGTATAATTTATCAACTAGATAACTACTAACCATTTTATCAACCTTCACCACCTTAGAAATGTTTAAGTTTGAAAGTTCCATTAAAAAATGCTATAAGAAAAGAAGTAGATTTGAGTGCTTAGAGAATTTTAATTCAATTGGTACCAACAATCATATCTAAGTTATAAATATTCTTTTTATTGGTGTTGAGACTATTGCTATCAATTTTAAAAGAAAAAAAATATTTAACATATTTGAAAAAAGAGAAAAAAACAAAGAAAGAGGAAGATAATAATGTTTGGGATGTTGTAAAAAATATCTCAAATTTGGATGACAAAACTCGTTTTATGGTTGTTGATTTGCTTGATAATAAAATAAAGGATGACATTTTCTTTAAGATGTCATTAAAAGACGTTCATCTTAGATAAACTTCAAGTTGGGATGTTTAATACTTTTGTTGAACTATATATATATTTTTAAGTGTCCTTTTGATTGTATTTTGGTTGAAGTATTTGATTTATATTTTTGTGGAGTTATGTAATGGCTGAACTTTAATAATGTTCCGGCCAAGGGATGGACTAGGGTTTCTGCCTAGGTCAAGCCTCAAAGCCAGAGCATTCAAAAGTGTCATCTGTCGTCCTAGCCCTAGGGTTTTGGGTTTTATACTTGTGTGTTATGGGCTTCGTGGGCCCCGCGATTATCGGGATCCCCCTTAACCGTTCTTATCTCGAAGCCCTGGGGGTGAGTGGTGGTTAGTCAAGTCGGGATTTTACCGGGAAGGTACACTTGCCTTCCAGCCCTGAGCCGATAAGGCGAGAGGGCTTGTGGCCTGGAAGACCAGTCGGATATTGAACGAGTGGGGGTGTAATCGGAATTTTACCGGGAAGGTACACTTGCCTTCCAGCCCTGAGCCGATAAGGCGAGAGGGCTTGTGGCCTGGAAATACCGGCTAGGAAAATAATAAAATAATAAATACATGAAAATGATTGCTTCAAAGTTTCAAGCTTCAAAATCAATGGATCAATCAGCCAAATACCGGCTGCAAAAGTGATGAATTTTTTTCTAAGTTTCAAACTTCAAAACCAACGGATCAATCGGCCAAATACCGACCGTAAAAGTGATAAATAAATGACATTTTTTCTAACTTCTAAATCAATGGATCAGTCGGCCAAATTCCGACTGCAAAGATGATAAATTAATGAAAAATTTTTCTAAGTTCAAGTGCAATTTAACCATGCAATCGGCCCATTGCCGACTCAAAATAATGAATGAAAATTTTTTCCAAGTTCAAGCGAAATTTAACCATGCAATCGGCCAAACGCCGACTCAAAATAGTGAATGAAAATTTTTCCAAGTTCTAGTGCAATTTAACCATGCAATCGGCCAAATGCCGACTCAAAATAGTGAATGAAAATTTTTTCCAAGTTCAAGCGAAATTTAACCATGCAATCGGCCAAACGCCGACTCAAAATAGTGAATGAAAATTTTTCCAAGTTCTAGTGCAATTTAACCATGCAATCGGCCAAACGCCGACTCAAAATAGTGAATGAAAATTTTTTCCAAGTTCAAGCGAAATTTAACCATGCAATCGGCCAAACGCCGACTCAAAATAGTGAATGAAAATTTTTCCAAGTTCTAGTGCAATTTAACCATGCAATCGGCCAAACGCCGACTCAAAATAGTGAATGAAAATTTTTCCAAGTTCTAGTGCAATTTAACCATGCAATCGGCCAAACGCCGACTCAAAATAGTGAATGAAAATTTTTCCAAGTTCTAGTGCAATTTAACCATGCAATCGGCCAAACGCCGACTCAAAATAGTGAATGAAAATTTTTCCAAGTTCTAGTGCAATTTAACCATGCAATCGGCCAAACGCCGACTCAAAATAGTGAATGAAAATTTTTCCAAGTTCTAGTGCAATTTAACCATGCAATCGGCCAAACGCCGACTCAAAATAGTGAATGAAAATTTTT